AAGTGAAAGATGTGTATTGTAAGAACTTTGACTCTTTAAAGAAAGAAATTAAAGAAGCCCTCAGAAAATGGAAAGATCTCCCATGCTCTTGGATAGGTAGGATCAATGTAGTAAAAATGGCAATCCTGCCAAAAGCAATCTACAGATTCAATGCAATCCCCATTAAAATCCCAGCACAATTCTCCACAGACCTTGAAAGAACAATAATCAATTTTGTATGGAAAAACAAAAGACCCAGGATAGCCAAAACAACCCTGTTCAACAAGGCAACGTCCGGAGGCATCACCATCCCTGACCTCAAGCTCTATTATAGAGCTATAGTCCTGAAAACAGCTTGGTATTGGCACAAAAATAGACAGGTAGACCAGTGGAATCGAATTGAAAACCAGGGTATTAACCCACACACGTACGAACATCTGATCTTTGACAAAGAAGCTAAAAATATACAATGGAATAAAGAAAGCATCTTCAACAAATGGTGCTGGCATAACTGGAGACTGGCATGTAGAAGAATGCGGATCGATCCATGTTTATCGCCATGCACAAAACTTAAGTCCAAATGGATCAAAGACCTCAACATAAATCCAGCCACACTGAACCTCTTAGAAGAGAAAGTGTGTGGTACCCTTGAAATAATTGGTACAGGAGACAGCTTCCTGAACATAACACCAGTAGCACAGACAGTGAGATCAACAATTAATAAATGGGACCTACTGAAACTGAGAAGCTTCTGTAAGGCAAAGGACACAGTCAGCAAGACAAAAAGGCAGCCCACAGAATGGGAAAAATATTCACTAATCCCACATCTGACAGAGGGTTGATCTCCAAAATTTACAAAGAACTCAAGAAGCAAGTCTCCAAAACACCAAAGGACCCAATTAAAAAGTGGGCTGCAGAACTAAATAGAGAGTTTTCAATAGAGGAGTCTAAAATGGCTGAGAGGCACTTGAGAAAGTGCTCAACATCCTTAGCCATCCGGGAAATGCAAATCAAAACAACTCTGAGATACCATCTCACTCCTGTCAGAATGGCTAAAATCAAAAACACCAATGACAATTTATGCTGGAGAGGATGTGGTGAAAGGGGGACACTCCTCCATTGCTGGTGGAAGTGCCAACATGTTCAGCCACTTTGGAAATCAGTATGGAGATTCCTCAGAAAAATGGGAATAAACCTACCACAAGACCCAGCAACTCCACTCTTAGGCATATATCCAAAAGATGCCCATTCATACAACAAAGATGTCTGTTCCACTATGTTCATAGCAGCTTTATTTGTAATAGCCAGAACTTGAAAGCAACCTAGATGTCCCTCAACCGAAGAGTGGATAGAGAAAATGTGGTACATCTTCACAATGGAGTACTATTCAGCAGAAAAAAATAATGGAATCATGAGATTCGCAGGCAAATGGATGACACTAGAAGAAACCATCCTGAGTGAGGTAACCCAGTCACCAAAAAAGAAACATGGCATGTACTCTCTCATATATGGATTTTAGACATAGATCTGGGGAGTGCTAGCCTACAATCCTATGGCCAGAGAGTCTGGGAAACAGAAACTTCTTTCAGTGGCTGATCGAAGAAGAGGCAGACTCCCTTGCTTAAGTACTGAGCTGAACTCAAGATAGCCAGTAACAACAGAGAGGGAGGACTGATGATCAAAGGGATTAAGACTGGGCTGGTTTAACCCCAAGAAACAGCCGACCAGACAAAGGTTAACTCTTGAATCCCAGGCATCAGCCTGGGAATCCAGCATGGGACTGATCAAGAACCCCTGAATCTGGGTGTCAGTCAGGAGGCCTAGGTAATCTATTGAGCCTTGGGCAGCAGATCAGTACCCATCCCAAGTATACACACGGACTTTGGACTCCCATAGAAAAATGTGAGGTGCACTCTCACCCTGAACTCTTGGGGAAGGTTCTAGACCCTGCCCTATATGAAATGACAGACTATGGACACCCCCATGGAGGGCCTCACCCTCCCTGGGGGAATGAGGGGATAACAGGGGGGGGTTGGGGGGAAGGCACGGGAAGAGCAGAGGGAAAGGCAGAGGGACCTGGAACTGACTTGTGAAGCAACCTTGTTTCTTATCTAAGTTTAAACTGGAAAATAAAAGAAAAAAAATAAAAAAATATAATGATATGTTGTGCTGTGTGAGAATGTTTTAGGAAATAAAGGAATACAGATAAACGTTTGAATAGTTGCATATTTTTATTCAAATAATTTTACACCATGATTACATGAATGATAACAGTATATGAAAAGAATATCATACATTAATTAAACGTGATTGCATAAAAAAGCATGCACAGTTTGATTCTTATTAAGCTAATGCAAAGCCATATAATAATATAATGGAAACAATGATTTTCTCTTGGGCAAGGGACATGACTTTGAACATCATGGATTCTTTCAGAAGACTTGAAAAGTTTTGAACATGATTCTCAAATTATATATAACAAAGCAGTTATAAAGTTAGAACTATAGTTATAATATTTAGCTAATTAACATTTAGTAATGTTTAAAGAAAATAATTTATCAGCTATCCTATCTTTGTGAGTCTAATGTTTTACCATGCAACCTATCTTTTATCATAACTAAGGAAGATCATAACCATAAATATCTGTGTTTAAATCCATCAAGGACCACAGAAGGATAATATATATACTCTAGAACAGACAGACATCTTGCTGCCTGGTCAGTCACTCAAAGTTCCTCTGTAATATTGGAGCATCTTTGACCCATAGGCCATAGTGTGTCTGACAGACTTCTCAGAGAAGCAAGAAATTAGGAAATGTCCCGCCTGTATTAGCAGTTTGTAGGTAATTTTTCTCTGTGCCCTGTAGAATGTCTTGCAGACTCTTTCCAGGCGGTGGTGGTGAACGCCTTTAATCCCAGCACTTGGGAGGCAGAGACAGGTGGGTCTCTGTGTGTTTGAGGCCAGGCTGGACCGACACCCTCGAAAACAATACAGAGAAATCCTGTCTCGTAAAAAAAAAAAACAAAAAAAAACCAAAAAACAACAAAAAAAGAATGTCTTCCAGACTCTTTTATGAAGCAGGAACCCTACAGCACTGACCCATCTTGTTTTAACAGTCACTTTTCTGTGGGTCCTGCATGTCCACTTCATACAGTATACAGTCAAACAGTCGAGGCAGGAGCAGTTATTTTCCAAATGGCTAGTCTTACCACGTTAAAGGCAGATTCCATTATAAGTTTTTTCGATGTCCATCTTCCTCTCTGAAGCAATTGGTATTGCCAGTAGCAGTTATGTCTCACTGACATGAAAAAAACCTAAATCATATTAAATGCCATATTCTGTAGATCTTTGAAAGGTTTGAAATATATCTATATGTATTTAGAAAACCTAACTAACCAAACTATAAGTTTTGACTGTTATAGGTAATTATCTATAATCTGTACTTAATTATATATTACATCTTAAAATATGCTATATAAGCACATTACCTAAACAAGAGGAGAAATATACATATCACAAAATTGACCTTAAATTTGTGTCAATAAATAAAAATTCATTCCAATAACAGGTACTCATTTCTGTATCATAACCCCCCATTTTTCCCTTAAAAAAGATTGGTTGTCATCATTAACCATTTATAACCAACGCCACTTAAATGAATACATTTGGGGGCGCTGTTAGAACCATGGGGATTATGAGAAAACAGAAATCTGGCCAAATTCTGCCATCTAATGCCTGCCCTGATTTCATTTAAGATGAACCCTGACCTGGAAGATTATGCCATATAATTCTTTCATCCTCTAATTTTTTTTTGGTCAGAGTATTGTATCATAGGAACAGAGAGAAATTTAGAAGAGCATGGAGGAAATGAATTCTGGGAAAGTTGTAAGTAGCTGAGGAGGCTGAGCTTATGGTGTTTCAGAGTGGAGCAAGGACTCTGCGAGGATCTGGGATAGGGACCATGCCAGTGATATTTTGTTTGAGAATTCTGGCATTATTCTACCATTATTCTACCATTATTCTGAGAACTTTGTTGAAGTTGAGTTTTAAGAACACGAACTGATCTTCTGATAGAAGAAAGGAGTATGGGTAAACAACGTGCAACCATTGAGGGAGCAGAAATTGTTAGAAAGATTAGAATCATCACAGAGACACTGAGCTCTGCACTGGGACAATAGAGAAGACATTCTTGAGGGGTCCCATACAGAAGCTGATACACAGTGATCCAAGCATCTGGGCTATATCTCCAACTGGTGTCACAACCTGGCCTTTGGTCTTCATAGTACTCATTTGGATTGAATATTTGTCATGAAATGTGGTTCCCAGAGAGGAATGGTCAAAATAAATACCCATAGAGAATTGGGAGACATGCCCTTGCAGTGCTAAGCAAGGCAGAGTGAGAGGGAACCACAGGAGCGAGCTCTGCATTAACATTCAAGCAAGCATTGGTATTTTGTCTCTGGTTACAAAACTTGATCTCACTCTTCCATTGCCCCAAATGGTATAAACAATCGGCTTGAAGGTGATGAATACAGTCTGGTGAATTGAAATTTAATAAACTGTCTTAACATTGCACATTTGTTTACTAAGCAATTTGTATAAGAGATTTATGAAGTTATAAACATCTTCTAAGCATTCTGAAATTAAGGAGACTAGGATTGTGGGAAATTTTATGCAATGATTTTAACATTGAGACAAGATTTCTTTTAAAAATAAATAGAACATTTGGACAAAATATAGCCATCATTTAATCATTGTCAAATTCAATGACCAAAGAAGTCCTGAGCTTTCCACCAGAGCCTTAAGACTTCCTCTAAGGGAAGGATTTCCCCTCAGTGAGATCTTTTCTGGACCTGAGTAGCAGGTTTAAGGATACTGCAAGCAGTACCCGATTGACAAGCCTTGTCTCACTCAACTTTCACAAGAATAATTATTTTTCAATATATGTAAGGTCAGATATCCAAATGAAAATGGTATTAAAATTGCCTTCATGGACAAGGACAAAAATGTCTGCTGCTGTACTAGACTATTTCCTGTCCGGAAGAACTCCTCTCTCCACCTTCTTTCTCAGGAGTGTCCTGCATGGCTTTCTGCAGAAGCATCTTCAGAGTCTGCCTCTGGAATCGGTGATGCCTAATGGACCCAACAAGGAAGTAAATGATGGGGTTGGCACAACTGTTAAAGCAGGATAGGAATATTGTCATTTCTAAAACACGGCAAGAGGAATTGATATGAATGCCTTTGACCCAAAATAAGTGGAACCAGTAGATACCATAGGACAAACCAAAGGCAAGGAAGACCAGCACTGTGAGGGCAATGGTCACATACAGCCTGGTCACAGGAATCCTGTGTGAGCCACAGAAGACCCTGAGCATCAGGGCCAGGCTGGACCCCAAGAGGACCACAAATAAAACAATTAACCAAGCAAAAGTGATGAAATCTAATTTCTTACACCAAGCCAAAACTAAGTCATTAAAGAAGGCTCCACATGAACTTCCTTCCAGGAGGCCCAATATCAGGGACAAGGCCCAGAGCAAGGCACATATGACAGCTGATGCGTGTCTTGGTCTTTGACAGCGGTACCATATTGGCCACAGGGCAGACAGGCAGCGCTCGGTGCTAATGGCACTGAGCATGCTTAGACTTGCCAAATAAGCACAATTTAACACTGTAAGGAAATGGATGGGTACATCAATATGTATTATATGGTGATGACAAAGTATTTTTTCCAGGGAATACAGAGTGTGAAAGAAGAGGAAGAGGAAGTCGGCACCAGCCAGGTTGAGGATGTAGACAGAGAAGGCATTCCTGTGCAAGCAGAAGCCCAGGAGCCACAGCACAATGGCATTTCCTGCCATACCAACCAGGGCAATGATGACTATGAGAATATTCAGGGTATAGATTACTGTGGCACAGTATAAAGGCTGATTGTAGTCACAGGTATTCATTGCTGTGCCATTAGCCATCCAGGCTGGGGTGCTTAGTTGCATGCTTGGAAATTCTTCACTAGTGTTCCTGAAATGAAAAAGAAAAGACATGAACACACACTGTATACTCTCTGACACCCTCCCTCCCCACCCAACTCTGTGGGAATAACTGACCCTGGCTCACAAAGTGGAGGAAACAGCTTACATAAATTAAGTCATTTGTCAACTTTTAAAATTTCTTGAAGATTTTACTGACTTGGGCTATGAGGTGGTTTGAAATGGCTCCCATAGGGGGGCGGCACTAATAGGATGTGTGGCTTTGTTGGAGTAGGTGTGGCTTTGTTAGAGAAAATATGTCCCTCTGGGGATGGGCTTTGAGGTCTCCTATGCTCAATCTATGTTCAATGTGGGGCACTGTTCACTTCCTGTTGCCTGTGGATCAAGAAATTTCAGCTCTTTCTCCAGTACCATGTCTGTCTGCATGGTACCATGTCCTACCATTATCATGATGGAGTAAACCTCTGAAACTCTAAGCCATTCACAACTAAATGCATTCCTTTATAAGAGTGGCATGGTCCTGAAATCTCTTCAAAGCTATAGAAATCCAGACTAAGATGGAAATTGACACCACACACTGGTGTATTGCTTTAATAGACCTTTCCACACTTTCATTTGGAGACATTGGGACTTCTGGAGTTTGTAATGCTTCAAGCATTGCTCAATGGACCATACTAGTAAGAGGATGGAAGACAGTGGTTCTGAGGGTGATTTGAACTTTGGGAGCCTAACTCAAGAAGTTTCAGGAGAGAAGAATATTACTATGTTGACTAGAAATTATCCTTGTGATATTTTGATGAAGAATGTGGCTGCCTTTTATCCTTGTCAATAGAGTCTTTCTGAGATTAACATGAGGAGCTTTGGATTAATTCTATTGGCAGAAAAACATCTCAAAACTGCCTAGCACAAATTTTGTCATGTGGTTATTAGTGTTCACTCTAATGAAGATTTATAACACAAGGGGCAAACCAAAGAAGGAAAAATACACATTTTTCTTTGTGAGTAGAAAAGGAGCACCAGGAAATGGGATGGAGCTAAGTTCTGTGCTAAAGGAGATAAACAGATAAATAACTGAGGAAAGGGGTCAAAACCGGGCCAGAGAAACCCACAGACACAGCTGACCTGGACAAGAGGGAGCTCATATACCCCAGACTGATGACTGAGAGGCCAGCATGGGACTGATCCAGATCCCCTAAATTTGGGTGTCAGCGAGGAGGCCTTGGCAATCTATGGGACCTTGGGTGGTAGACCAGTATTTATCCCTGGCATACAAATGGACTTGTGAGCCCATCCCACATTGACAGATGCTCTTGCAGCCTGCACACAAGGGGGAGAGCCTAAGCCCTGTCCCAGATGAAATGTCAGACTTGGAGATCCCCCATGGAGAGCCTTACCTTCCCTGGAGAACAGAGTATGGACTGGGTGGGAGGTTGAGGGATTGGAGAAGGCTGGGGGAGGAGGAGAGAGAGAGGGACCTGCGATTGACACGTAAAGCAAGCTTGTTTCTAATTTAAATAAAAAAGAAATGAAATAAAGAGAATGATGACATCACGGCAAGATGCCATCTAGCTAAATTTATACTTGTGGAAAGGGATTAAAGAAAATATCAGAGAGACAGGTGTGGTAGTGCACACACCTTTAATCCCAGCACTACAGAGGCAGAGGCAGGCAGATTTTGGAGTCTGAGGCCAGTCTGGTCTACAGTGAAAGTTCCAGGACAGGTAAACTTAGGCAATAAATGAAACCATCGAAAAGATATAGCTAGTGAAGAGGTAATTGAATAATGGGACCATGTTCCAGTCCCAAAATACAGTTGGTCCTGGCAGCTTTGGCCACATGGTTCTGTCTTTCGAGTCAAAGATAGAAGAAAGGGGTTTTGGAATCTTCTTTTGTGGCTAAGAAAATCAACTGAGTCCAGGAGCAAGTCAGGTTAGCTCCTGAATGGAGGCCTAGAGAGACCATTGCATGAAGCTGTGAAGTTGAAGCCTGGATTGCCTTGGAGAGCTCAATAACGTTGGAGATGCCAGAGCTGTGGGATACCTGCAAAAAGCTACTAACAGAGAGTGAAACAAGCCCAAAAGAGAGATGTGTGTTGCAGTCCCAACTCTGCAAGAAGCTAGAGATCTGAAGACCCTTTTCACAGCAGACATGGAGATACAGCATTTGGAGTTTGCCCAGAGGGTTTTTGGTCTTGCGTTTGTCATGTATTTTCTCTTTACTCATTTTGCAATGGCAATATTTATCTGTACCATTATATGCTGGAATTATGTGGTTTGCTTTTTGATTTTGATTTTTACAGGGATTATAGTTAAGAGATTTTATTAATCTCAGAAAAGACATTGAACTTTAGACTTTTAAATAAGTTTGAGACTGTGATAGACTATGGGCACTTTCAAAGTTGGACTGAGGGCAGTTTTACATTATGCTATTTCTACAAGCCTTTGAGGGCCAGAGAGTGTAATGTCATGGTTTGGAAGTAGATGATACCCATAGGGAATGGCACTATTATGATGTGTGGCTTTGTTAGAATAGGGGCTGCATTGTTGCGGTATATATGTCATGGTGAGGGTAGGCTCTCCTATGCTCAAGAGATGTGCAATTGGGACACAGTTCATTTCCTGTTGCCTGTGGATTAAGATTAGAACACTCAGCTCCTTGTCTAACACCATGTCTACCTGCATGCCACCATATCCAACCATGATCATAATGGACTAAACTTCCAAACTGTAAGCCACCCTAATGAAATGCTTTCCTTTATAAGAGTTACCATGGTTATTGTGTTTCTTCACAGCAATAGTAACCCAAATCAAGACAGCTTATCTGCAAACCAATTCATCGACACACACTGGGATAGCTGATAGCTCTAGTAGAGATACTCATCAGCTAATGCTTTCAGGAAAAGACAGAATTCTGAATGCAACTATTTCTGTCCTAAAGCTGAAGATTCTTCTTAGGTGCAGGAGTATTGGCACCTCATCATGAACATTGGCTGCCTTTAGTCACTTGGAGGGAGGACCTCCAATGGGAACAATTGAATAAAGAGTGAGCCCAGTCAAAGTTATTAGGCCAGAGAAACTGGATCTTCATTTCAAATTTTGGAAACTATAAAGGACAACAAGTGTTTTTTTGTTATCTGTCTTTATGGAAAAAGTGTCTGACTCTCTACGATGGTTAAGAAATGTAACAAAGCCAGGCAGTGGTGTCACATGCCTTTAATCCTAGCACTTGGGAGGCAGAGGCAGGTGGATCTCTGTGAGTCTGAGACCAGCCTGGTCTATAAGAGCTAGTTCCAGAGCAGTCTTCAAAGCTAGACAGAGAAACCCTGTCTCAAAAAAACCAAAAAAGAGAGAAATGCAACAAATGAATAAATAAATTAGTCATGATCTCAGAGTTAGTTGAAAATTTAAAGTAAACTTTGTACAAATGTTTTAAAAATAAGCTGAGTACCATAAAACATACAGAATGAAGAACATGTCATTGCTAATGATTTCTTCACTGGAAATCTCTTAATCTCTTGTGGTTGTGAATAACCACTTATGCTACAGAGCTGGACAATGATGGCCATTGTGATTTTGCAACATAGGAATGTCCAATATATATCTGTAAATATTAATAAGAAAAATTTTAGACCCAATGTGAGGTATTTGATTCTGGACTCACTGTGGGTCCTAAAAGCTGGATAAAGTAGATAAAAAGGCACAGTTCTATATGGAAGTATTTGAGGCCTGAGATGAAAAAGGAAATATAAATGACTTTGATGTGGAAATACGGTCCCATCCTCTAGGAAGACCAGGGGAAGATGTAAGTGAACAAAAGTAGTTCCTGGGACATATACAAGCACGGCTTGGAAAAGCAGGGTCACTTACTTCTGTGTTCCACTCCCATATGTATTGGAAAGTTTCCTATTTCCTCCATGATTGACAGAGACATTAGGAGAAAGTACATCTAGCCTGGTTTTTCTCTTCTTATTACCTTAAGTGCCAATTGGAGTGGAATGATGGATGTTCCTGTACTTGCTGCTTTGTGGCATGACCATATCCCAGTAGACTTCCCTGTATTGGCCCTCCCCACCATCCCCTGTGGTGGGGAATATCAGGTAAGGCTCAGTCCCTATACAGTTGATTCTGGCTTGGAATGTCTAGAATTGGAAATGAAAAGGATCAGAATCCAAGTGTTTTCACTTAGTGAGCTTCAGAAGCCTGTGACAAGCATCAAAGCATCCAGTCTTCAGCTCATCAACAAAGAATGATTATTGTCAATATTGTTGTGCTGGTATGCACCTGTGTTGTATTCTTTACCCTCACTGTTAGTTTTTGTAATGTCATACATTTCTCTCCTTCAAGTCTTGTTCTTTCTCTCTTTACCACTAGGCCCACAACTGTTTTGCAGTGTTTTCTTAATTAATTTGAACTTCTCAGTTATTCTATATTACCATATCTCCATCAGCATTAGAAATGCAGCTGTCATTTTCAATTGCTTTTATTTGCTTTCTAATGTAAACATTTGGTTGACTTTTGTGTTGGGTATGTCTTATTTCTCCCTTTGGGTGTTGCTTGGGATTGATATCTTGAGCTAAATCTGCTTACTAGGCAGACACTTGTAAAAATATTATCTAACACAAAAGGGAAAAATTATGATCCAGAAAAAAAGTTGTCAATGAACAAGTAATGTTGCTCCGCCAAAAGTTAATATCACTTCAACAATGAATGCAAAGGTATAAGACTCATGTAAAACCAGACAATGAACTCAGAAGTCTTAATTTAAAGATGTTCAAAGATTTCAATGATGTAAACAGGGTTAAGGACAAATTTATACAAGTATTAATTAATAAATTTACCTCTGAGATAGAGATTGGGGAGCAAGAGATGAAAATCAAGGTAAGGACAAACTCAGTGAGTCAAATAAAACAACCAGGGGGAAGAATATCTAGCAGATATGCTAGTCAAAAATAGAACAAAATCAGCTACAGCTTATATTGTAACTGTATGTATTGTCACTGTATGTCA